CCCAGAAAGTTTTTACACCACCCTGTTCTGCATGGTGGGTGTGATATGTACCCCCACATCCCAGGTGGGTAAACTGAGGCTCTGAGAGACCCAATGCCAACCAGCAGAGCTCACAACTTGCACGACGGGAAGAGGAATCAGCTAGGATGGTCGCCATCTGCGTTGAAGCCCACTGGGGCTGAGCAGGAGCTCAGAGGCTGCCTCCCTCCCCCCTTCCCCCTCCCTCCTCCCCTGCCCCAGGACTCAGAGCCTCCATCTGGGCTGTGCCACTGAGTAACTGTGTGCCCTCGGGCGGGTCACTCAGCCTCTCTGAGCCTTGGTCCCTTGCCTCTGACAGGGAGCAATGAGAGCCCCCTCTGCCGGGCTGCGTGGTCAAGGTGGGTGTCACAGGGAGGGGCCAGCTCCAGAGGGCAGGGTCCCCGAGTCCCTGTGCCCGCTGCGGCCCTGGCACAGAGCAGCTGCTGGACGAGCGCTGAAGGCGAGGAGCCGAGGCCAGCGTGGCCGTGGTGCGCGCAGGGCTCTCCACAACCAGCCCGAGGGCGCCCCTATTGTGAGTCCGTGGTGCAGATGGGGAAACTGAGGCTGGGAGGTCAGGTGACTGGTCCAAGTGCCCTCGGTGCCGGAGCTGAGCCTGTGTCTGTGAGGGTCTCTTTTGCTGGCCCTGCCTGGCAGGTCTGTCCATCCCATCACTCCCCCCCCCCCCCCCCCGCTCCCTCCCTCTGCCCACCACACACAGGTGTTCCTGAGTCTGTCTTCAGTCCAGGGAGACACGAGAGAGCCAGATGGATGGCTCCCAGCGAGGTCGGTCCCCTCACCTGCTGATCTCTCTCTCTCTCTCTCTCTCTCTCTCTCTCTCTCACACACACACACACACAGAGTTGTTCCAGAGGCGGTCAGCATTCCCGGTCAACTGGGTGGACCCCAGGCCACCCCACCCTGGAGAAAAGCAGGCCTAGTGAGACAGAGGCGGCCTTTGTGCGGCGCGGGCGCTTGGTGCAGTGGGCAGCCCTTACTCACTACCCAAAGCAAACAAGACTAGTCCAGGTTAACGGCCGCCTGTCTGCCCCGCACCCCCGCCTCCTGGGGCCTCTCCAACGCCCTGACCTCATCCGGAGCAGGCCTGCAAGGGCTTGAGGGCTTCCTTACCAAGGAGGAAGCATGCCCAGAGAGGTGGGGCGACCTCCCTGGGGTCACACAGCCAGCTCCGGCTGGGACAGGGTGGGGTGGGGGACAGAATAGGGAAGCAGAGGGCCAGCCCCGGGTCTCAGGGATGGGAAGGAAGTGAGAGTCCCAGTGAAAGGCAGAGCCTTGCTCCCTTCCTCATTCCTCCCAGGCCAGCTCCTGGGACCCCAGGGCACCCAAGGCAGAGGGAACCAGGCCATGGCGGCAGGCATGGCAGCCAGAATAACCCAAGCTCCCCTTAAGGGGGCAGCAAACCCTGGGTGACCACTCTAGAAACAGAGAGGGTTAATCCACTGCCTGAAGTCACACAGCAGTGAGTGGAAGAAGGGGTCATGGGTCATCCTCCAAGAAGACCGAATCCAAGGTGGCTTTCAGACAGGAAGCCGGTGGCCAGACGCTAGCTCTGCCAGGAAGACCAGAGTCGCCAGGATTGGGCTTCCAGGTGCCATTGTGCCAGATGTCCTTGGAAAACGGTTTCCCTCCCCGAGCCTCAGTTTCCTCAGCTGTGAAGTAGGCCTCTGCAGTCACGGCCCTGCCCCTCCAGGGGGTGAGGCTGCGGCACCATCCAAGGGCCCAGGGGGTAGAGGCTGGTCATGACCCATTCACGTTGGAATGGACACTGTCCACCCCCTCACTGCCCAGATGAGGAAACCGAGGCTGGGGGCGTGAGGGGACTTACGGGGAGCTGGGTTTGAACCTGGGCAGCGAGCGGGGTTCTGGCCCTGGAAAGGCTGAGGCGCCTCATGCTCAGTCAACAGCCATAAATATGTTATGGCTCAAAGGCAAATACTTTGTGCCTCAGCCAAATGCAAGTCTAGCTTTGCCCCCGGCCCCTCTCCCTGGCGTGGGGGGGGCGTGGTTCTCAGGATGCACCCCAGGCCAGGCTGCGAGAGAGGAGGGGAGCCAGCGCCAGATGAGGGAGAGGGAAGGCATGAGCCCTGACCGGGTAAAGTGGAAAGTGAGCCCCTTTGACAGAGGAGGAAACTGAGGCTGCCCCGGGCCACCCAGGCATGGGAGTAGGGCCTGTCTCAGCAATTCTTGGCTGCAGCCGCTCCACATGGGTCTGGGCACCCCCCAGAGGGGCTGGGCACCCCCAGAGGGGCTGGTTAAGTGGCAACAAGGCCAGCTGAGGAGACCGAGGCCCTGGGTTTTGGAATCAGACCAATGCGATGCCAATGCTAGCTCTCTTCTCGGCTGGCTCTGGACAACGCTTTTCCTCCCAGACCTCAGTTCCCCACTCAGGAAAATGGGTCCAAGAGTAGTTTCCAAATACACTCCACTCCTGTCAGAGTGTTCAATCTACCGTCCACCCTCTCAACAGCTGTCAGCACATTCCAGGCTGGCCTTGGCCGAAGCAACCTTGCCGTCGGTCCAAAGCGGAGACCACAGGTCCCCCAGGGACCACAGGTATCTCTGGAGATCGGGATTAATCTTTAACAGGTGAATTCCGCTCAGCTCGGTGATGCGGAGCCTTTCTCCAGAGCCCTCTGGCATGAAACAAATATTCTCTCTGCTTCCCAGACCCAAGCTGCCACCAGGAAAGAGCTGCTCCCTGCTTTGTGGAATTGCAGAGAGTTCAAGAGCCTTCCTCAGAGTCAAATCGGGGGAAACTGAGGTAGGGCCTGGGAGAGGTAGACATGTCCATGGGATTGCATCCATCCTTCTAGATACACACCAAGGAGCTTAAAACCTAGGGCGAGGGTATAGTTTAGGCTCTGAGATTCAATCCCCAGCACCACACACAACAGTATTTCCTCAGTCAACCATGCAGTTGGAACTTACTGAGCACCTACTATGTGCCAGGCGTGGTGAGGACAGGTCCTGTGCGTTTGTCTCCCTCCTACGTCTTCTCCCAGCTCCCCCTCTGCATTTCTAATCCAGAGACTTGGATGACTTCCCCAGCCCCGGGGAACCCTCCAGCCTGGTGCCACTCTGCAGCAGCGAGCTGGACCTTTCTAGACCACACGAACAACCATGGCCCTCCCTGCCGGACTTCCTCAGCCCCTGCCTGACCCCTTGCCCTGCCTGCTCCCATCACCCAGTGCAGACACATGGAACTAGATGCTGTTGTGCAAACAGACAAGAGTCATGTCTTTGCTGGTACCGTACCCTTTACCTGGATGCCCTTTCCTCTAATTTTGCATTTATTCTCTGAGGTGCGGCCCAAGCGCCACCCTGATCAAACGCTTCCTGAAGCCTCCTCGTGTGCTCTCCCTCCCCAGCATGCTCTTCTGCCCCCATGCATCTGTGTACACCTTGCTGAGGGGCGGTGCCCAAGCCAGGGGTGATGCCCGCCTGGAGGCCACAGCTGCTGGGGGGGGGGATGGGGTCTCAGGGAGCGTCAGCCTCCTTCCCCCACCCCCACCCTCCAGGCTAGAGTCAGGCTGGGTCCAGGCCCTTGAGTAGTGGGTGTGCTGACCAGCAGGGGAGGGGCCAGGGGCTGCCAGGAGAGGAGGTGGATGGGGTGGGAGGGGCCTCCATGGCCTCCTTCCAGACCCAAGCCAATGGAAGGTGTCTGGAGTTCTCTGGGGGCCCTGGCACCTTTCCAGGGGCCCCCAGAAACTTGTGAGCTCGCTGCCGTGTGAACACTCACAAAGCGGCCCAGACCGGGCCGGGAGAGCCCTGGCCATGCGCGGGTCCCCGCAACTCACCGAGAGGTGGGGAGGCCTCTGGGCCTTGCGGGGTCCCCAACCTCGGAACAGGACGCGCTCGCCGGGCAGGGGCTGCGGGCGGCCTCCGCTACCCAGCCAGGGTGTGTGGTGCTGGTCAGCGGCGGCTGCTGAGGGCGCGGGCCCCAGGACAGCCTTGGGGCGTCCACTGGCCCCCCATTACAGGTGAGGAAGAGGGGCTCACACAGCCAGGGCACTGACCCACGGTCCACGCGGGGAGGCAGAAAGCTCGGCGCCGACGCGGGCGGGCGGGCGGGCGGGCGCCCGCCACCGTGACCGCCCTCCCCCCCGCCCAGGCCCCGGCCGGGACCCCGCACCCCCCCGGCCCAGGCCCCGGCCGGGACCCCGCACCCCCCCGGCCCAGGCCCGGCCCGGGACCCCGCACCCCCCCGGCCCAGGCCCCGGCCGGGACCCCGCACCCCCCCGGCCCAGGCCCGGCCCGGGGCTCCACGGAGGCTCCCGGCCCCCCGAACAAGGCCGGCGAGGGGGCCGCTCAGAACGTCGGGGCCGACGCGGGCCGGGAACGGCCTCCTCCCGCCCGAGCCGTCCCGGCTCTGAGTCGGCTCGGCGGCCCCTGCCCTGCGCCTGGGCACCTCCGCCGGCAACGGGGGGTGGACGGGCTCGGGGAGCGCTGGGGCCGGCAGCCCGGGCGGACGGATGGCGGAGCTGGGCGCGGGCGGCCCCGTCCCGTCCCGTGCGGCCCCGTCCCGTCCCGTGCGGCCCCCGCCCCGTCCCGTGCGGCCCCCGCTCCGTCCCGTGCGGCCCCGTCCCGTCCCGTGCGGCCCCGGCCCCGTCCCGTGCGGCCCCCGCTCCGTCCCGTGCGGCCCCCGCTCCGTCCCGTGCGGCCCCGTCCCGTCCCGTCCCCGCGCGCGGGGAGCCGTCCCGTCCCCTCCCCAGGTCGGCGGCAGCCCCAGGCTTTGGTTCCAGATCCCGGACGGGCGCCCATGTCACAGATGACAAACCGAGGCCCGGGAGCGGAGCTCGGTTCCAGGGCATCCCGGGCGCAGCGACCCCGGCCAGACCCGGGCCGCCGCCCCGCCTCCCGAGCGCCCGGCTCCGGGACTTCGGAGCCTCGGGATCCCCGGGGCCGCCCCCGGGGTGCGCGGCGACCCCGCCGGCCCGTCCTCCCGGGCCCCGACTCCCACTCACCGCGGGACCGCTGGACGCCGGCGGCCCGGAGCGCGACGCTTCCTGAATCCTGGCCGGGCCGGTCCCGGAGACCCGGCCCGGCGCCCGCGCCCCTCCTCCCGGCTCAGGTTCCAGGCGCGCGCCGCTCCCGGGCCCCGCCCACCCCGCCCGGACCCCCAGAGGTCCGGCCCTGCCCCCGAGGCTCCGCCCACCCCGCGCCCGCCCCCCGGGGCCCCGCCCACCCCGCCCGGACCCCCAGAGGTCCGGCCCCGCCCCCGAGGCTCCGCCCACCCCGCGCCCGCCCCCCGGGGCCCCGCCCACCCTGCCGGATTCCCCCCCAGAGGTCCGGCCCCGCCCCCGAGGCTCCGCCCACCCCGCGCCCGCCCCCGGGGCCCCTCCCACCCTGCCGGATTCCCCCCAGAGGTCCGGCCCCGCCCCCGAGGCTCCGCCCAGCTCATCTCTCCCGAACCCTCCTCCCCTCCGCACACGGAGGCTCCGCCCACTCCTCCCAGAGACTCCGCCCACTCCGCCCCGACCCCCCCCCCCCTTCTGCCTGGCCCCGCCTCGACCCCACGTGCCTGACACGAGCCCTGGTTCCGAGCCCTCGGGTCCAGCTCTGGGTCCAGCTCTGGGTCCAGCTCTGGGTCCAGGCCCTCAGGTCCAGCTCTGGGTCCAGGCCCTCAGGTCCAGGCCCTCAGGTCCAGCTCTGGGTCCAGCTCTGGGTCCAGCTCTGGGTCCAGGCCCTCAGGTCCAGCTCTGGGTCCAGCTCTGGGTCCAGGCCCTCAGGCCCAGCTCTGGGTCCAGGCTCTCAGGTCCAGCTCTGGGTCCAGCTCTGGGTCCAGGCCCTCAGGTCCAGCTCTGGGTCCAGCTCTGGGTCCAGCTCTGGGTCCAGCTCTGGGTCCAGGCCCTCAGGTCCAGCTCTGGGTCCAGCTCTGGGTCCAGCTCTGGGTCCAGCTCTGGGTCCAGGCCCTCAGGTCCAGCTCTGGGTCCAGCTCTGGGTCCAGCTCTGGGTCCAGGCTCTCAGGTCCAGCTCTGGGTCCAGCTCTGGGTCCAGGCCCTCAGTCCCAGCTCTGGGTCCAGGCCCTCAGGTCCAGGCCCTCAGGCCCAGCTCTGGGTCCAGGCCCTCGGGTCCAGCTCTGGGTCCAGCTCTGGGTCCAGGCCCTCAGGCCCAGCTCTGAGTCCAGCTCTGGGTCCAGGCCCTCAGGCCCAGCTCTGGGTCCAGCTCTGGGTCCAGGCCCTCAGGCCCAGCTCTGGGTCCAGCTCTGGGTCCAACTCTGGGTCCAGGCCCTCAGGCCCAGCTCTGGGTCCAGGCCCTCAGGTCCAGGCCCTCAGGTCCAGCTCTGGGTCCAGCTCTGGGTCCAGGCTCTCAGGTCCTGCTCTGGGTCCAGGCCCTCAGGCCCAGCTCTGGGTCCAGCTCTGGGTCCAGGCCCTCAGGCCCAGCTCTGGGTCCAGCTCTGGGTCCAGGCCCTCAGGTCCAGGCCCTCAGGTCCAGCTCTGGGTCCAGGCCCTCAGGTCCAGGCCCTCAGGTCCAGCTCTGGGTCCAGCTCTGGGTCCAGGCTCTCAGGTCCCGCTCTGGGTCCAGGCCCTCAGGTCCAGCTCTGGGTCCAGCTCTGGGTCCAGCTCTGGGTCCAGGCCCTCAGGCCCAGCTCTGGGTCCAGCTCTGGGTCCAGGCCCTCAGGTCCAGGCCCTCAGGTCCAGCTCTGGGTCCAGGCCCTCAGGTCCAGCTCTGGGTCCAGCTCTGGGTCCAGCTCTGGGTCCAGGCCCTCAGGTCCAGCTCTGGGTCCAGGCCCTCAGGTCCAGCTCTGGGTCCAGCTCTGGGTCCAGCTCTGGGTCCAGGCCCTCAGGTCCAGCTCTGGGTCCAGGCCGGGGACGGCGCCTGGGTCCCAGCGACAGTCCCGGAGTTAAATATCACCCGCGCCCAGCCTGGAGCCGCGCACCGAGGCGGCCACGCACGCACACGCCGGTTCCCTAAGTGCGGTCGGTGAACCCCAGCCCGCAGCCTGAGTCCGTTAGTCTCCTCCCCGGGGGAGCCCACTTCTGCCAGGGCCCCGAAGCCACCGGACTCGCCAGCCAGGTGACCCCAAGCCAGTGCCCTCTCCGCGCCGCAGTGTGTCCCGCCTGGGAGATGCCCGGCCCGGAGCCCAGGTCGGGGCTGGGACCACTCACCGGTAATCCCAGCTACCGAGAGTCACGGTTCCGGGATCACTTGTAGGTGGCGGAAGGAGGTGGAGGAGTTCTCAAGACCCCATCCCAACAGCAAGCCTGGGGCATGGTGAGAAGCGTCAGATCGGAGGGTCGGAGCCCAAGCTGGCCCTGGGGACAAAGAAGACCCTGTCTCAAAAAGGCGATGGACACAGAGGGTGAGAGCTGAGGCTCACGGCTCCACGGCCCGGCAGGTGCACGAGCAGCACGGAGCGCGTAGGACGGTGATGTGCTGGGTCCCTCGACACTGACGTCCTCTCCTCTTCCCCAAGTGCTCCCAGGCTCGTGGTGGCACGGATCCTGTCATCTGGTGAGCGAGGTGGCCTTAGCACGTCACAGGGGAAAACCAGGAGTCAGAGCCCTGCTGCGGGAGGCCCTCCTCTTCCTTCCAGGCTGCCCAGCCCGGCCCTTTCCCCTTTCTCTTCCCCAGTATCCACGGGCCCCCCAGGGCTCCTTGGCATGGACCCAGGTTGACTCCAGGTCCCTGCGAGCCTGGATTGTCTTCTGAAGTTCCTGTGTAGGGCTGGATTCTGGCTGATCAGGGTCCCAGGTCCCTGGTGCACAGCTCCCGTGTCTTCTTCCACTTTATAGCAGTATTTAAAGATGCTTTTGCTAAAGCCTGGTCCCAAGCAGCATACAGAACATGGCATCTCCTCTTCCTTTTTACATCTGTCTTCCCTCGGAGCAGTTACCCTGCAGGATCATGTTCAAAATCAGCCTAGGAAGAAAAGGCCCTGAAACTCATATCTCCAATTAACTCCACCCCCCCCCCCCCCACACACACACACACACTCAAAGGCAAAAGCAAGCTGAGCCAGGCTCGGGTGGCTCACGCCTGTCATCCTAGCTACCCAGGAGGCTGAGATCTGAGGATCACGATTCAAAGCCAGCCTGGGCAGGAAAATCCGTGAGACTGTTTTGTTTTTTTTGTTGTTGTTGTTGTTGGCCGTGGAGCCTGAAATCTGGGCCTGGGAGCTGTCCCTCAGCATGTCAGCTCAAGGTCAGCATCCTACCACTTGAGCCACAGTTTCACTTCTGGCTTTTTCTGAGTAGTTTATTGGAAATAAGACTCTCATGGATTTTCCTGCCTAGGCTAGCTTCGAACTGCCATCCTCATATCTCAGTCTCCTGAGTAACTAGGATTATAGGCGTGAGCCACTGGTGCCCAGGCCAGTCAAACATTACATCCAATTAAACATTAAAAAAAACTGCACATGAAGCTGTGGCCCAAGTGGTAGAGTGCCAGCCTTGAATACAGTAGCTCAGGGACAGTGTCCAGTTCAAGCTCCAGGACAGGCACACACAACACAGACACACACACACACACACACACACACACACGCACACACACACACCCCACACCCCAGCACCTTTCCCAGGAGTCACGGAGATGGGGGAGATGGGGTACAAGGAAGCTGGAGACAGTGTCTTGGTTTGTTTGTATACCCATGGCCCCACAAAGAGCCAGCCACAGTGTCAGAATGGAGGCCCCACCCTGCTTAGGACCCACCTTCAATGAGGTTCTTCTGGAATTTTCCCTGGGGCAGAAACCTGAGGCCAGGTGTAGTGGGGGGGGAGAGGGGGGAGCCCGTCTCCTCAGATGACCGTTACCATGGGCACAGCCACTCACGGGGCTTAGCAGCGGCTGAGATTCCTTTCCTTGGCATTGGGCCTGGTGGCTTGTGGGCGTGGCCACAGCTGGACACGGCCTCCCTGGGGAGCTGGTGCCACGGGGAGGGAAGTAACTTGTGGATCTCCTCCTCACTGTGGGGTTGGAGGATTTCTTGTCTTTCCATCTGGGACCCCTTGGTGGATGCCAGAAGGGAATGAACTCTGTTGGAGAGGATTGTGATTTTTCAGGGATCCCCCCACCCCACTTCCTGCTCCAGGCTGTTAAAGCAAAGCATAGGGCTAGTGGCAGCAAAGCTGGAAAGAGGCCAAGGCTGGGCTGGGACCCGGGAAGCAGTGTGTCTTCGCTGACTCTCTGAGATCCTGGCTGGCAGCTCCATAAACTGTGAATTGATTTTTATCAACTTCTGCTCACAAGGACTGGTAACTTCCCTGCTTACAACAAAAACCCAACTCCTGCTAAGCTCAGCAGCTCTCCGCCTTGGCCCTCTTTGCTCTCCAAGCTCTGGCTGCTCCTGCCTCTCTTCAACCTTACAGTTTGCTACTTCCTGGCTTTGAGGCCCACACCAGGCCTTGAGTTCAATCGCCAGCAATGCAAGGGAAAAAAATAAAACCACACTGCTTCCTCTCCTTGCTCAGGGCCTTTGCATTTGCTGCTGCCGGCCTCGCAGCTCTCCATAACTTACCTTCTGTCCCTTCAGATCTCAGCTAGATGTCCCCTGTCTGTGTTCTAGTCTAAATCGAAGCTCCATAATTGTCCTATGGAACCTGCAACTCTTTTTTTGGGGGTGGGGGTGGGGGGTCAGGTCGTGGGGCCTGAACTCTGGTTCTGGGCACTGTCCCTCAGCTCTTCAGCTCAAGGCTAGCGCTCTACCACTTGAGCCACAGCGCCACTTCCGGCTTTTTTCTTTTTGCTTATGTGGTGCTGAGGAATCGAACCCAGGGCCTCAGGCATGCAAGGCAAGCGCTCTACCACTGAGCCACCTTCCCAGCCCATGAACCTGCAACTCTTTGCTATCTGTTTTTTAGTTAGTTTTTGTTGTTGTTGTTGTTCGGTTGTTGTTTTTGTCTTTGTTTTCCGTTCCTGGGGCTTGAACTCTGGGCTTGGGCACTGTCCCTGTTTTTTGTGCTAAAGGCTAGCAGTTTGCCACTGAGCCACAGCTCCACTTCCAGCTTTTTGTGGTTAACTGGAGATAAAAGTCTCACAGGCTTTCCTGCCCCCGCAGGCTTTGAACTGTGATCCTCAGATGCT